TGAATTAAACCAAATCAGTTATAAGCCAATCAATGAGCAGAGAGAAAGCCAACAGAACTTCATTTTTCTCCTCTCCATCACCGACGGACCCCTTCTCCTCTCCTTTCCCATTTTTCGGCCAAACGACCATAGTTTCCAGCGAGCCAACACCCTAAAGAGGAGCGTAGAAGGCTATGGGTATAGAATCCAAGCTACTCGATTGAACAGCAGGTCTCTTGAGCCTTGATTTGATTGGCTAAGAGAAGCCTTTTCTTTTGTCTCGGTTACTTCTTCTCATACTTGATCTCCAAGCTTATAAAATGAATACAGATCTTTCTTTCTCCCCATGTTCACGAACGCGACTAGAGTAAGCGGGAGTAGGTCTCGCTGGGTCGCACTTACTTTCTCCTCGCCCAAAAGGAGAGCCAACAACTGTCCCTCTTAAGGCTTCGAAGCAGAGTCGCTTTCAAGAACCAAACGGCCAAGAAAGACTTTTACCGAGAATGATTGAAACACCGCTGATATGAAAGTCAAACCCATCGGGGGAAAGCTTTTTTGCTCGATGGGGCTCTGCGGTGGGGCTCAATAGAGGCGTGCCACTCGATCACTTATCCACCCGGCACCTAAGAATTTCACAATACTAGTGACAGCACACCGAGGGCTCTGGTGGCAGAGCCATCTACTCATCGAGGAGAAGCTGATTATGGTCTCGGCTCGAGCTGTAGTGACCTTATAAGGGAGAAATCAAAGCAAGAAGCTTGGGTTGCTATGATAGTTGTGATTCCAGCGAAGTTCACGTTGTTTCCGGTAGTCTCGCTTGCAATAGATGGTCTCGATCAATTCCTTGATGCTTAGTTAATATTTTCCCTCTATCAATCGTTATAGCTGAGCTCGCATGATGAAACCACCGTGAATGGTGGCTCATTGTGGCTGAAGAGGCTTCTTCCAGCGAAACAACTTGACAAATCTGCAAACTAACATTGGAAGTGAACTCCTCACTGAATTCCAAACAGTTCGGTTTAAGCATTACACATTTCCTGTGCAATCTAATTTTTCGCCCACCGTATGTGGCGGTTCTGGCGATGCTCCAGCTGAGTGTTAGAAAGAACCCTCATCCCCTTGCGTAGATCGCAATGGTTAGACCAATCATCATTCTGTAGGCAATAGAATCTATTCGAATTTAATTGTAATTCTTCAATTTATATGGTTTATTCCTCTTTAGGATTTGAACTTGATTTTGACTCTCAAACTTAACAATTTTAGGAGTTAAGCTACTTAATTTAAAAACCACTAAGAGTCAACACGTTTGTTAGTTTAAGGTTAAGATATAATGATGTAGTTACAGGATTATTGGGACTGTGTTTCGGATTTGAATTAGATACTAGTCAGTATTTATGCATACATATGATCAAATATATGCTCAGAAATACTGCATATGAACTCAAATTGACAAATGATAAGGAATATATGTATATGTATGTGCAGGTATTATAACTAGATTTAGTAAAAGATGTCGAATGATGAATGAATGGTTGAAGGAAAGGATTAAAGTGAATTAGTGTAGAGGCAATGATAATGCTTATGGATTTAAATTGATAGATGATGAGAAATGTATATATGTGTAGCATTATAAATGTGTTTAGTAAATGAAGTTTTAAGTAATGGAGGATGGGAATTGACTAGTGATTACTTGACCGAGGGATGGGCAATGTTGGTTCTTGATACAAGTGTATACATTTTATTGTTTAAATTTGAAAATTGAAAATATAGGACTAATCTGATTTTAGGAGAGATGCTGCCAGATTTTCGGCAAGATAGTTGGATATATAATATGGAATAAGAGACTTAGGCTTGACGAAAATATAAATTAGAGGAACAACAAAGACATTGAAAAAATCAAACATTTTGGGAAATAGTCAAATTGAAATGTAAAACTTAGGCTAGTGCATATAACATATATATAAACTAGAACTTAAGAGTAGGAAACCGAAATAAGAAATTTATGTTAATCCATAATATTCAAATTAAATGGTTGGAAAAAAAAAAGATATAAACACTATTATTGAAATCAGAATCTAAAAATGACAGTTAGACATCATGAATGATAAACTTATTTCGATTCCTTTCTTTTGATATTCTTGCGGGTCTCAAGGAATCAAATTTCGGATAACAGGATATCAAAAGAGGAGCACAACTTCTAGCTAAACTATAACGCAGTGAGTAGACTAAATGTTATACATGCTTTACTTGATAAATTGCTATTTGTGCTGGACCATTTGTTGCTAATGAACATTGTTTGATTAGTTGTAGCGTGATACATGTATGCTTTGTTTGTATGGAATTGGAATGAAGTGAGTCACCGCTGGGTTTGTGAGGACAACCCATGATACCATCGGCCACGTATGGGGAGATTGACGCTCCCGTGTGCATCTGATGAAATATGATATAAATGATATGGAAAATCACAAGGTAGCCTCCTACTGGTATGAAAAAGAAAAGAGGGCTGATCAAGTGAGGTTGAGACAGGGATCGGCTCCCTGGTGCACATGTGACGAGAGGGCGCACCATGTGTGAGGACAGCTCGTCGGGAGGTTTTGGTGACGTCACTGACCAATCTCCACTTGACGTGATTATGTGAATATGTTAATATTTGTGATTTTTATTGGGAAAGAAAGCAGATTAACAAAAACAACATTTATTTTTAATAGACTCGTGACATCCATGTACTGAGTCGTCCGATGAGCCACGTTAAGAAAGCCCAAGCTTATATGCGCTGGCCCACAGGGTGCCCCAATAGGGCCCGAATGAAAGACCCAAGCCTACATGAACCATCACAAAGAAAGTTCTAAAAATGAAGACTCGGGCCTGTTTGGATGAAAGCCCACAGAAGGGCCAAAGCACAACAAGCCTACCCATCATCAAAGCAAGCCCAAATGCAAGAAGTCCCACAGGATATATCCAAATTCAAAGCCCGTTAAAGTTGGCTCCTCACATGAAAGAATGCAAAGGATCCGAGCCCATCCATCTCCTACATGAAAAGATCTGAGTCTATCCAAATAGCCCAGAAAATGACAGCCATCAAAAGGCCTAAGCCCATATAATATAGCCTCGGCACATCCAAATGATGTTCAGCTTTTTTTTTTTTTTTCAGTCATCATTTTGTTAATTTTATTTTTATCATGCTATCCTTACCTTTCAACCCGATTTTGCTTCTGCAGCAGTATAAAATATCGGTCCCTTACCTTGATGCCTACAGCTCAATTTGTTTTCCAGTGATGGTCCGCGAAATATGCTTTTTCTTCTGCTTTCTCTTTAGGATAGATATCGTCTTTGATCCCCGGGTCTCTTAGCCCTAAGTCTCTGAACACTTGCCACACTTGCCTTTCATAGAAGTAGAAAGATGGAGCCGCACAATATCCTTTCCTCCGTTCTGTCTTCCTCGACTTAGTAGCCAAGTCTTCTCTTATAGTAAATAATTTTATACCATGCTATAAAAATATACAAATTTGTCTCTTGCTAATAAAAAAATATAAATAAAATGAGTGAGAAACAATTCAATATTCTTTTGCTAGCTATAACAATAATTAATCTGAGACTTTTCCATTTTATGATATAATTTGGTATTGATGTCAAGATATAAATAAATGGAAAGTATAATTGATTCAATTCGGCTATGGTGTAACTTTCACTTTAGCTAAATAATATCTAAAATGTCTTTAATGGGTTCAATGCCCCGGATTTTTCTTGCTATAATAAAAGTTATAGAAGATTTAAATTTAGTAATTTAACACGACAGACTCATAAATAAAACTAGAATATATATGAATATTGTGAAAATGAGATCAAATAAAAAAAATATATCGACTAGTTAACAATTTGAAACTTGAACTCGTTATTGTTGGTAAAGTTTTGTCTGAATATTACTATTTCTTGAACATGGAAATGTGTGTACATGTATAGGGATTCTAATTTTCTCGATGATCTGAGTATTTAAATTGACATTTGACTTATAAAGGAAGATATATAATAAGGAAAAAAATTACTAGTTCGTGTATGTATTTTTCAAAATACATTATTCTATTATTGTAATTTTGATAATATTCTAATTTATTTTTGGAATATGGCGCAATTTGTCTCATGAACTTAGAAGCAATATACAAATTATCAAAAACAAACTTTTTATACAATTTACCTTGTAAACTTGCACAAAAAAAAAAAAAAAAAAAAAAATTCCTCCATCAAAGACATTCAGAGAACAATTTTATTCGGAGAACGTTCGCCCCTGTTTGGCTCTTATAAACAATAACAATAATGGAGAAATGGATTGTGATGGTGGTATTTGTTTGATGAGGAACATCAAATTTTTAAATCCAAATCTTGAAATCTAACTTATTTAATTTACTGTTATATTTATGCACTTAAAATTTCAACAATTTATATTCAAGCCTATTATTTTTATGTTCATTATTTATTATTTCACTAATCTCCTAACCATTAATTTGGTCTTTGTTTAATTTATTCACTTAAAATACATTATCTAAACTCAATTATAAATTAGGGATTCAAACTCGTTTAAAATTTTATTTTTATTATCCGAACCCATTTAACATTAAAAATATTTTTCATTTTTTATTTTAAAAATAAAAACCATAAATTTTATTTTGACTTAATAAAAAATATTAAGATCTATATTAAGTATATTTATAGCTGGTCGAAAAAAATTGTACTTCACGCGCGGGTATTTAAATATTATTTTAATAATTATTATTTTAAATATTATTTTAATAATTATTGCAATCATTGTCTTTAATAAACTATAATGAATTATCAAATGTTTAGAACAATAATAAAAACTCTATTTGAAATAAATCAGTAATGGTAAATATCAAAATAATAATCTAGATCGTTTCATCGAGCACCATTTATATAGAAAGGTGTTCTGACTCTATTGGATTAAGTCATCACCTACGCCTATTTGTAATAAAGACAACTATAACATCATTTATGAAATGGAGAGACTAAGCTCTATTTCAGAGATTGAACTCTCTTACTGTGATTAGCCCCTGCTATACTAGTAAGAAGCTGTTCCCGAGCCAGGTTCCCAGGATCAACATATTCCTAGTAGGGCCTAAATGGATGAATTAAGAAGTTGTGCCCCGGTAGACTTCAAGAGCTCTTGCTCTGTGTATCCTCCCACTTGTTATTCTGAGGGTCATAAAGACATACGAACCGCCTACTCTTTAAAGCCCTACCAAACTATTAAAATAAAATGAAAGCTGCTTGCCCTCATTGATAAAAAAACAGCAATCCCTCCCTAAAAAGGTGAAAAAAGCATAGCAAAGAAAGTTGATTGAGAGAAGATCAATCATTTAGAAAACAAAAGTAAAAGTGAGAATATGGCTATGTGGCAAATTCACAAGATGTATTTGGAATTTTCTGAAACCTTATGTACAGTGGTTAAGGTTAAAGTGCCTCCGCCTAACATTTTATACATTCTACTTCTTTGCAATTGATTTCCAAATGAGGTTTGACCACGTAAGCATGATATATTGTTCACAGTAGGAGCATATGAATTAAGAAAAACCTTGCACCAGCATACCTGTATATGAAGACTCAACCACGCCTTTTCTAAACTGGAGGCCAGAACTTCAGCACTGATAAACCCTTCTGCAGAATTAGAAAAAGATATTTAAAGTTCTAGAAAATTGTCAAATGCCACATTCTATTTCTTGCCCAAGACATAGGTTACAATTTAAGTATCATACCACTGTACCAAAGCTGAGCTCCATTGTACCCAATAGCTGTTATAGAAGGGAAAGATTTTTGTGGATCTGTAATAAGTTGATGCAAGGGTACCTTCTTGATTTCAAAACATTGAAAATAAGCTACATATTAAACTAGTAAATAGAACACTGACTGCACCAATGTCAGTTTAGAGCAAATTGGAATGTTCAAAGAAGCCATTACCTTATAAAAATGGCAATTATATAAGAGGAAATTGAACTTCATACTAAAAAAGGCCAAGCCACTTCAAAGAGTTTTATCAAGTCCAATAAATATGTTCCCCTACCTAATTTCCTCCCTTCTGCTAGCAGTGTCCTGTCAATAGTTACCATGACATTAAGTTATGCATACCTCCCCAGGATTCTAACCCATTTGGAATAGACTGCATGCCTAAAGTTCATGGCACAAAGATGTAAATAAGAGAATTCATGTATTTTGTCCATTTTGATACGTATAATGCACTAATGCAGCAACACCCAAAACTCTCTCTCTCTCCAATCGGTGATGTCTTGTCTTTAGTTACAGAGACAAGTTACTCACTTAACAAATGCAAACACTATAGAGCTCAAACATATTTGAAAAAGAATGCATCCCCAACATTAAGAGCATAAAGAAGTAATAACAGGCAAGTTTTTCCTATTATTGGCACATCTAAACGTTTGTCATAAAATTCCAGAGTTCAAAAGAACAGGAGCAAGTTAAACAGAGGATACATATTGCAGAAAAGTTTGCCGCATCAGCACTTCCTTCGAGTATATGCAACAAAATGCAGTACTTTGACAGTGACTCTGCCACCTGATTTTAGTGCACAAACATAAGAACGAGTGATAAAGGTCACTTATATCAGAATATCGAAAAATTCTTTGTGTAATATTTACTTTCAAATCAGTCCATGTGGATTTTTCCAACTCGATTGAATCAGAATCAGCTCCTGCAACCAAATAAAAGAGAACATCAAAAACTAAAAATAATTATTAATTTTTTAAGCTTCAATTAAAATTAAATTACCAGATATGTAGACAACGAAAAGCTTCTTCTGCTTCTTGGATTCAAGTATGGCTTCAGGAATAGAACCTTTATATGTAAGTTCAGATAAAGAATTTTCCATCTGTATAACACAAAATAAAAATCTCAAATTAGGTAAAGACACACTAATATTAACCTAGCACATAAAACTGTCAGGAATTACGTAAACAGATGGTTATCAATGGAAGAAATAAATCCCAATATCAATCATCACTAAATCCAATCGCAGATTCTAATCAATTAAAAATGTAACAACTAGAGAAAATAAACCCTAACTTGTGAACTTTCAATTGAGAAAGAATAACTTCAAAGCCCTAAAACGATTGATTATTTCAAGATTCTTTGTTATCTACGATTCCCACCTTGTTGGATATAGATGTGGAATCCTTATAAGAAACCTGGTGGAGACTTGGAGAAAGAGCAATTAACTGTGAACAAGATGACTCGGTGATCCAGTTAACACTCGTCACTCGCGTTAATCGGTGAGCCTTAGCAGAAGTTTGACTGCCGGTGTCTTTATAATTTTACTGTCTTTATCCGTTTCAAAACATTTAAAAAATAATTTTTATATCTATTTTAAATTTATATTATTTTAAATCTATTTACAGTATCACTTAAATAAATAGAGTATTTATAATTATAAATTATCTAAATCAATTCAAATTTATTTAAAATATATTTTTTATTAATAATAAATAAAATTCCGATGAATAGTCATGACTAAATAGATAGCAAGTATTTAAATATTTACGTACACTCTAAATTCATTAATAACAATTTCCGTCTTTTTAAACGGGGATAGATAACTTAAAGTAACGGTCATCAGTTAACAACACTAACCTCGTTCGGTGGGGATAAGCGAACTAGGATGTGCAATTTCAATTCAGCAAGTCATTCTACATTCCGTGCACAAAGCATTAGGGTCTAATATACACTTAAATAAAAAAAAAAGAAAAAAATTGAAAATTTTCAAAGTCTTAATTATTTTTATATATCTATTTTAAAAGTTAAGATTTTTAAAAAAACACATTGAATCAATTATTAAAGTAGGACGATAAAATTAAAAAAAAGTAAAATTCTTTATTAATTTATTAAAATTTTTTAATTCACCACAATTAAGGATAATCCTATATCCATAATTCCCATCATTCTCATAATAATTATTAATTATATTATTGTTATTACAATATTCATTATAGAGAGATATAGATTATAGACTAATGTACCAATTTATTATTTAATATGTTTTATCAAAAATATACTTTAATAACTATATTAAACATTCTATCGTGCTTAATATAATTTGTATGGGTGAAATTTGACTATTGGAATTTAAATGTTTCTTTATATATAGAGATATCTTGTATAGCACTTAAATCCTTTTGTCTAATTGGTTGCATAAATTTAAAACATATTTGATTATTTAAGATATTTATTTTTAATCCTTCATTATATACTTTAAAGGGATAGATTGTAGCTAAAAATGGTGTTCCTAGTATTACTCTTATAGTAAGTTTTTTAACTAGAATAAAAGGTGTTTTAAAACAAAAACCGTTAGCACATATCTTTACTTTTGTTAATTTATATTATATTCTTAACTTACTACCATCAGCTGTGTATAGCCTTTCTTTAGTTTTTTCATAATAATAATTGGAATTAATCCTTCTTATAAACAATTTTCATCTGCACCAGAGTCAACTAATGTAATCGTAGTTAAATGAAAATCATTATTAACTTTCTTCTGTCAAGGCAGGCAGACGAATTTATAAGCGATGGTAAGTCAAGGAGGAAAGGCGCAGTTCCGTGGGAAAAAGTGATGATATGATTTATCTTATATAAGTAGAAAGAAAGAAGATGCGATATGAAGAGTGGAAAGTGCTAAATCCAGGCAAGCAGTACCGCGAGGAAGTAGCATCCCATGAGAGAGGTCTCAGTGCTCAACAAAGGCTTTCCTTCCCCATCTTGGAGTAGGGAATCGAGGCCGTTAAGGTGAGGTAGTCTTTCCTGTCTCTTTTCTTGTGAAGCGCCTTTCATCACGTCTGCCTAAAGTATCACTCGGGTCCTGTAATGCCTTCGGTATTTTTTCGCTCTTCTCTTTCTGCTCTATAAGTAGCCCCTGGTTGACTCTTCAGGTCTTTTAAGGAAGGTGATCGAGAGTAGTTCCATCGGATCCCTAAGATGAAGAGTTCTATTGTCATGTCATCTCAGTCACATCAATCTTCAAAATCAAGAAACTCAAATCTTCGAACGAAGTCTTCGCACTTTACCCCTCTTCTCTCATAGTATAAGGAATAGGGTGGGACAGGGGGAATCCAGAGGAATTCTAGTCAGGTTGTCTCGCTTAGCCGGTCACCGGGGCCATCCTTCTCTTATCAACGCTTTTGATGGGTCTTATCAACCTTGTCAATTCCCCTGGTGTAATACTCACCTTGTAAAGATTGGTGTCAGAATGGAAAAAATCCAATAGTCGTCTAAGCATGAAAGTATAAAATGCCAATAAGTAAGGCATGGAAAGCCTGCACCCGAGACAATTTCCACTATCCATCGGTGAGGGAAAAAAATACAAGCCAAGATCCAAGTTCGAATGAAAACTTGAAAGGAAGAACAAACTCTCCTTTCAGTCGAGCGTCTTCAAAAACCTCTCGCTTTCTTCCAAGCTGCGGTGAACAAATGGCTACTTCCCACCATGGAGGATAAGCGGAGGGGAGTGGCCTTCCTAGAAGTAAGGGGCAAGTTTTTCTGGGCACAATGCTCAAACGAAAGTCTTGGGCAAAATCGCTTGACCCACTCATCTTTACCAACTGCTCTATCAGACGGGCCAAAATACAGTTATGTTCTAGATTGGTTATTACACCAACGTGGTATTTGCTGCCGTTTATATTAATTATATCCACAAAAAAAGCATGCCCTCATTACGTAAAGGGGGGGGGGAATCATCTCCTGAAGATTCACATCGCATTATTGTTTTTTGAAATCCCAAGCTTTTCATGAGTTTTTCACGAGAATATGGAAAGTCTCCTTCCCAGTAAACCCAAGACATCAATTTTTAGATGAGAACCGCTATAGTTTATCATTCATAGCCCACACAACAAAGGGCGATCAGTGTGGCTGCCATTTGTGCATAGATAAAGGATAGCCTTAAATAAAGGGTAAATTCCCTTTATAGATCAGCCGTGAAACATTGAGTTGAGGTTCGATATAGTTTTTACCTGCAAACATCACTCCAAACCAGATTTTGCTGTCCTTGTGCTCCTGTTTCCTGGTATTAGGGAGGGCCCATCTTTCTGCCAATCTGCTGCATCCTCAAAATGAAATGTTCTATGCATAGGTTCAAGAAATGGAAAAAATGCAAACTTGATTTTGATAATAATTAGTTAGTCCTTCTACGAGATTCAGATCTTGCCTATACCCCTCAAGATAAGAGCTTTCATCATGAAAGTTACTGAAAGTGGGGATGAGCTACATCTTGGCTGTACTGATCTAGATTAGATCTAGTAAGAGGTTTCCCCCTTTAACTTTTTTTAGTTCTCAACTTTTCAGCTTGAAGCATGATCTCATTGATTCCTGATTTCCTAACCGGAATGAGGGTGCCCCCCTTTACTACTAGAAAAGATGACAACCAAAAGCTGCTTCGACCCTATACCGATTATTAGTCGGGGCTCGCTCAAATATGTTTCCTTATCTGATAACAAAGCAGATTTGGTCGAGCCTTTAATGTAAGCAAGAAGTTAGCAATTTCTTACCATCCCTGAAAGAGTAAGATCAAGAAGAAGAAGCTTTTCGTTCTCCTTGATAGTATCAGTTTTTAACATTTCCTGAACCCATATATATTCAATCTCTTCGCTTCTGATATTCAGAGATTCAATTCTTGCTGATCTGCTCACCTACAATGCCTTTTGGGGCCCAGTCTCTCTACCAATGGCATTTTAAAGAGAGAAAAACTTGCAAGAAATCTCTTTGAATTTCTATGAACAGAATCGATTTCTTAACGAAGAGAATATCTGCGAATGTCCTCTTCTTTTGGAACGATATCAGAAATTGATTGTTCAGAGATATGGCAATGAGAACGCTGTAAAGGAGGATACTAGCATTGATATCATCATATGGAATTGATGAATCATGTATTGAGAGCAAGATGAGCATCGGTGATCGTAGATCAAAAATCAGTGCTTCGAAATCTCAATACAACATTTATTTGCTGGGAGTGCTTATTCAACTTCATTGAATTGCCTTTTTCGTAGAATCCTGAGGCCTGAGATTTGTATTTAACACAATAGGGCAAGCTATTGTATTGTGTAAGGGTCTTTGTGAAGGCCTTTCTTCTGGAACCTTTTTTTTTGATGTCTGCAACTTTCATTGTCGTGGCCCTCGAAAGCATGCAAGTGGGAACATAACTTAGGAACTCCTCTCGTAGATGATTTTCTGCCCATTTTCCTCCTGCACCCATTTTCCTAACCAGATCCCATTTGGCTTTTCTTTAAGAGATTATTCCTCCACGCAGAGCGAGCGTTCTATTTTCAACCAGTGGTCTGCGCACACAACCCCTATCGTTGGGGCCATCAAAATCTCAGAACCCTATCATCACCCCTGAAATAGAAAAAAGGTAGAAGAAATTTAAGGAGAAGGTTTGGGGAGAGAAGATCAAAAGCGGTGCATAGTAAGAGTTCAAACCGCGATCAAACCAAGAAGACCAGAGAAACTTGAAAATAATAAAGCCTTAATGATAATGACGAGAGATTTTCCTGGAAAAAGCTTGAATGAAAATCTTCTTGTGATGAGAACTCTCATAATAACATGTCTTGGATCGAAGGAGTAAATCCAATATGAACTTTCGCTTGTTCATCATCCAGTGAAGTGCGTAAACATGAGGTCTAATCGTCATCTACAGAGGGACGGACGGCCTGAGGATAAACTTTTCTATCAAAGAAAGCGGTTAACGATCTACTGATCTGTAAATCTCAATCAATAAGTGAAGCACACACACCGGGCTCCCGATGAGAGATCGGGCTTTTATTTAAAGGAAGGGCCCTATGTTTGTAAAGGTGGCAGACGAAGAGTTTTTTTTTTCCACCATAGCTGCGTAAGACTTAGAGAAGAAGGGATCTGGTGTTCGGATGAAAGATCCTCATTAAGAAAGGATTTGGCAGCATCCAAAGTGCCGGATCGCCATGGTTGGCGAAAAACCCAGCCATCATCAAAGGAAAATTTAAGTGGAGGGCCGACCAACGCGAACGGAGAGGAAGCCGAAAAGAGCCCAATAAAAGCCACTATAATTCCCCGTACGAATGATTGATTGAAGGAATGCACCGGACAACTTGGGGGAGAGGGCATCTGTCTGAATGATGAACGAGTAGCGGGCACTCTGTGGCTTCATTTCGTCGAATTGAAATCTCATCTATCAAGATAAGAATGAGTCAAATGCGCATTCCTGGTAGGATGTTTGTAACATATTCCATCGGCCGGACGTTTTTTGTCTCGCCTACATAAGGGAATCGAAGGTTTGGAACCTAAACTAAAAATA